ACCAATACGGACTAATGATACCGAAAATGACGCACTGCAACAACGAAAATGCTTTGTGGTAAACCAATTCGACAAGGTACAGAGCTCGATAGAGGTACTATGGGGGAACGCCGATTGACCAACTCAGCGAATTTCCAGACCTCGGTACACTTAGTTTCCAGATCAGTGGGGTTCAAGTTGGCCATCAAATCTTGATGGAACGGCTTGATGGAAAAACAATTCGCCGATTTTTGTCCAATCAGAAGTGCCGAAGAAAAGGGTCGCGCCGAGTTCATTTCCATCAAAAAAGATCAACTTGAACCCCACTTTGATGACCGATGATACATACACACGCACATAGTGTGTTCTTCGTTGCAAATGCTGTCGAGCAAAGCTTGACGGCGCTCTTTTCCGCTCTTGTTCCTTCGAGTCGTTACGTACAGGTCGGACGCGGCGTTGTCGTTTCGAATGCGCAAGTCGTCGGGGAGCTCGTCTTCGACCCGATCGTCTGGTACAGCATCGGCACAGCACAAGTTGTGCAGCACAATACACACTTCAATGTGGCGAATGATCTTCACCATGCTTTCCTTCCCTGCAAGGCGATAGCGCAAGCTCTTGAGGCTTTGTGGAAGCCTCAACAGCCGATGAGCCCGCGTCCTGCCTCACCCCGTGCTTCGGCGTCTGAGCGCACAACGGCTAGCGTTCGCATGCCGGGTCTACCCTTTACCACCACCAGCCGCGCTCCCAGCCAAGGCAAACGTAGGGTCTTTGTTTCGACCTCTCCGACGAAGCGCGTCAATAGCAAGGACGTCATGGCCACGCTCTCGAGCTTGACTGGCGATCCTTCCGCCATCGAGAAGGGTCGCTTAGTCGCCGAGGAAAGACGCCTCGACCAGGAGACTGAGCGCGTACTAGTCGCCATGGAGAAAGCGCGTTTAGCGATGGAGACGACTCTCGGGGATGCCAAGCTCGTGCACGCAAAGTTTGCGGCCATTGAAAAGATGGCCCAAGCCCGTGAGGCCTTGAAGAAGGCAGGCGCTACCCAAGAAGAAATCGGTATGGTTGCGCCGCTCACTATGGAGATTTAATCGCTAATAAGATGACATGCGACTCTGACACCCGTTTGACCCGTTTTTCCATCAAACGTTCCATCAGCCTTTTTGTTGATGGAGCATTTGGTCTTCTGAGTGATGAAGGTAGCCAGTTCGGGCGAACTATGTATGGTTGATGGAGCTTGATGGAGGTTTTGTTTTTGCACGAGTTTCAGCCAATGAGATCGCTGGATTGGACCCGTTCGTCATTCCATCAAGATTTGATGGCCAACAGCTATGGCCAACTTGAACCCCACTATCGTAATCGAAACATCAGTTTTCGGGAGGGTGCTAGCCAAGCATCCCTTCTTCGTTCACCGAGGACTCGATGCCGTCAGCCTCAATTGGTTGCCGATGTAGCTCGAGGTACTGGTCGGACGTACGACACGCTGCACAGCTCGGACTACGCGAATAAACGTCATATCTATGTACGCATCGTTGCAGCTCTGCGAGCTGGGTTCGCGCACCTGGTTCAGCACGCGGCACAAACGGTCTTAACACGCGGTATCCATTGGTCAAGATCCAAACCGCG